CAGAGGGAGAAGCAGGCTCCCCGCTGAGCAAGGAGCCCGATGCGGGCTCGATCCCAGGACCCTGGGATCATGACCTGAGCCGAAGTCGGACACTTAACTGACTGAGCCACCCAGGTGCCCCAGGAAGAGCACAACTCTTGATCTCAGGGTCATGAATTCAAGCCCCACATTAGGAGTAGAGATTACTAAAAATTAAAATGAAAAAAAAATAATAATAAAACATGATTGCTTTCCAGAAGAGAGGAGGATGGGAGGAGGGAAGGATGGGACAGAGGAATGTTGCTTTTCATCCTAAACCTTTCTGTACTATATTTTATTTTTCCCATGTACATACCTTACTTTAATTTAAAAAATAGATAAAGCAATTAATAGGTGCATTTATTTTTTAAAACATTAATAACCTAGATTGGTGTAGGAATGTGGTTTACTCAGTTCCTCAACTATTCCTTCTGGATCTGCTCTTTCCTCCGGACAAAAGCAACTTTTAGTGCTGGTCTTCCCGTTCTGGATTCTTTTTTCTTTTTCTTTTTTTTTTTTTAAGATTTTATTTATTAGAGAGAGAGAGCATGAGCAGGGGGAGAATTTTATTTATTAGAGAGAGAGAGAGAGCACAAGCAGGGAGAGGGGCAGAGGGAGAAGAAGCAGGCTCCCCGCTGCGCAAGGAGCCTGACGCGGGGCTCGATCCCAGGGCCCTGGGATCATGACCTGAGCCAAAGGCAGACACTTAAGGGATTGAGCCACCCAGGGCGTCCCTCCTTTTTTTTTTTAAGATAGTATTTATTTGGGAGAGAGAGACAGCATAAGCCGGGGGAGAGGCAGAGGGAGAGGGAGAAGCAGACTCCCTGCTAAGCGCAGAGCCTGATGTGGGGCTGGATCCCAGGACTCCCTAGGACACTGAGATCATCACCTGAGCTGAAGTCAGACATTTAACTGACTGAGCCACTCAGGCGCCCCCCTTTCTGGATTTTTGCCTTTGAGTTTGGACTTCTTTCGGGAGTCAGGAGGAACAAGGGGTTGCAGATAAAATAATGTATTATAAGACTGATATGTGATCACTCCACATTGCAGTGTGTAGAAAATACAAGTAACTCCAGAAAAAAATGCTAATATTTTAAGATGTATTTGTTCACAATCACATATTTATCATATTGTACATATAGTTTATATCATTTCTATATAACAAGATATAAGCATTTCTTAATTTTTTTATTCTAAAGTAATTTTTAGTAATTTATATTTTATCATATTGATGAGATGTTTTTAAGTAGTCTTATTTAAGGACATATTTTTCTATTATACATAATGATGTGATAAATGGCCTTTTAAATATACCTTCAACTGCATCTCTGATTGCACCTTTCATGTAGTTTCCTAGAAAGATTACTAAATCAAGCATTTTTCTGACATACCCAGTTTCTCATTAGCTCTTTCATGTTTTTAAGAAAATTGTGGTTCAGCTTTATTTTTTTAGTAATCTCTACAAACAGTGTGGGGCTCGATCTCAAACCAGTCCCCCCCTTACTTAATTTAAGTTTATTTATTTTTCCAGCTTGCTTAGTTATCCCCAGTACTAGGGCTAGTCCTGTAATGTGATGTTTTAGGGATACAAACCACTAAAGGAAGGAAAACTTGAATCATGAGGCATATATGACCAGAAGCCATCTGACATTTACACTAATGTAATTATTTGGAACTCTTAAAATAGAACTAAAGCTTTACAGAGTAACTGTTAATTCTGATTATAATCAGCATCACAAGCCTTCTTAAATAGATTGCTATAATAAAGTTGTGTTTACAATGAAGACATTAATAATTACAGCAGATTGGATATGAGACCAAAGATCCAGCCCAGTGTGGTGCTCTCAGCCAGTAGGAGGAGGAGGAAAGGACGCAGTCTCCTGGAGTGATGTGTTTTTGTCTTAACAGTCTATAAAGGCTTCCTCTGTGAGGGTCACAAAAAGTATGGGCTTCAGTAATTGGACTGCACACGAGTAGTGCTTTCAGTATAGGACCAGACATAGTATTTGTGAAAATGGTTGTCCAAATTTTTTTGTAACTAGATCAGTAATGCACAGTTATCCTAATGTAGCACAGTGATATGAAGTGTTTAAAGTTTATGTAAACTCTCTCTTTGATTTCTTTGCTCTAATGTAATTTTATAAGTTGTAAGTGCACCATCATAAAATGATAGCCTTATTTTGCTGCTGGTTTTGGTCAATGCATGTTATAAAAAGATGAGGAAAAGTACATAGAACCATAGAAACTTTAGAGTTCTACTCAAATATTCTCATTTTATGGAAATGGGTGTCTACTTGTGCTGTGGGTTTTCCTGTGGAACAGATTATCTACCCCATTTATCCAGACCTGTCCATAAATGACTTTTTCAGCCTCTCCTACTAGAGGCTTCTGACGTACCTACATTTACTAATCTAACTCCTTGGGCCTTCTTGCCAGGGAGTAAGAGCGCAAAAATTCAGTCGGGGATATTTGGAAAGGGCTCTACTTACTCACGACACAATGCCGAAAGACTTTTTAAAAAACTGATACTTGACAAGATTTTGGATGAAGACTTATATATCAACGCCAATGACCAGCCGATTGCCTATGTAATGCTGGGAAATAAAGCCCAAACTGTACTAAATGGGCATTTAAAGGTATGATGTTCTAAATGTTTATTTTAATTATCTTACAGTAAGTGGGCAAAAATATATTACTGCAAATTAGAGGGTCTTCTCCAAAGCTTATGGATACTGAATTTATACATACTGTCCTATGTGAACGTACTCGGTTCCTCTTAATCTGGAAAGAGAGCTTAAAATCGAACCCAAGTAATGTAGCACCTGCCAAAGTAAATTCAGTTGGGTCGTCCGATCTCTGAATCATCATACATTCATTAGGTAAACATTTATCAAGAAGCTGTTCTGTGCCAGGCACTGGAGATGTAAAAATGAGGAATGCACAGCCCCTATTCCTAACGGGCTTGCTATAGCTACTTAGCATAACAGAAATACAAAAAAAGAAAAAAAAAAAAGGGCACACAAATGTAATTAAGAATTAAATGAAGCCTGTATTTGGATACAAGTGCATGTGTACCCACTCCTGTGATCACTTTTTCTCTCTCAAAGGTAGACTTTATGGAAACGGAAAATTCCACCAGTGTGAAAAAACAGAAAGCGTTAGTGGCAAAGATATCTCAGAGGGAAGAGGTGGTGAAGAAGTGTCTTGGAGAACTGACAGAAGTCTGCAAATCTCTGGGAAAAGTTTTTGGTGTTCACTACTTTAATATTTTTAATACTGTCACTCTCAAGAAGCTTGCAGGTAGGTATGGGTGAATCTTCTGTTACGTGGCATGAATTAATAAGCCAAAAGTTAATCTTACTAAAGAACTTTTTAGGTGCATAGATCTAGCTCAGTTTATTTTCATTATTTTTATTTAATCTCTAAATTGAGAGCTCAAACAAACAACTTCCCCAAACTTGAGATGAAATCTGGTCTTTAAGATGTATACAGTGGGACGCCTGGGTGGCTCAGTCGTTAAGCGTCTGTCTTCAGCTCAAGTCATGATCCCAGAGTCCTGGGATCGAGTCCGACATCAGGCTCCCTGCTCAGTGGGGAGCCTGCTTCTCCCTCTGCTTGCCACTCCCCCAGCTTGTGCTTTCTCTCTCTCTCTCTCTCTGACAAATGAATAAAATCTTTTAAAAATAATAATAAGATACATACAGTACTGTGTTATTCAGACACACAGCATAATTTTTTTTTTATAAATTGTGTTTAAATATGTAGTTTACTAAGTTGCTTTTTTTTTTTTTTTAAAGATTTTATTTATTTATTTGAGAGAGAGAGAATGAAAGAGAGCATGAGAGGGAGGAGGGTCAGAGGGAGAAGCAGACTCCCCGCCGAGCAGGGAGCCCGATGCGGGACTCGATCCCGGGACTCCAGGATCATGACCCGAGCCGAAGGCAGTCGCCCAACCAACCGAGCCACCCAGGCGCCCCTCACACAGCATAATTTTAATTTAAACTTCTCCCTCTAATGCCGGATGTTAGGATTTGGATAATTGTAATCTCTAATACCACCCATCACTCAGAGATTTTGTCTTCATTTTCTGCCTGCTTTATGATGATTGGCTATGTTAAGTACAAATGTCTTTGCAAGGAGGAGCTAACGTTCCTTATGAAAAGACATTATGTTTCATGCTTCTTTGAACCCAGATCTAGCACACTGCTTATCTTGAGTTAAGAAATACATGCTGACCTGAGTTATTTCCATAGCTTCTGACAGCTCAACCCAGAATCCTAATAGGAAAGCACCTGGAAAATGAAATAAGTCCTTCACATAGCTGACTGATTAGTGTACATGTTACCTTCTACATTCTTCCTTCATAAAATCTCATGATGCACACCTCCTCTCTGTTCCATTCCCATTCCTACCACCCTAGGTCATCACGGCGTCTCATCAACTCTGAGATGCTGTTTTCAGACACTGCTATTTTGTGGACTATTAAAGAAAAAATTATGCTAATTAAACAGTGACACAGTGCTTTTATGGAAAGAATTGTTTCTGACCTATTTAAATACAGATTTTTATTTTATATAACTCTGTGCATATATGAAAATCGCATAAAATCAAAGCAAGTTGATTTAGGTGCTTAGAGAAATTCATATCCAAAGCCCGACTCTTGGGAATCACTTTTGGACTCGGCTGTCCGTGTCTTTCCCTCGTGTCATTGAGAACGCTAGCGACACAGCCTTTCTAGCACACTCCAGTCTTCTCCCCGGCATTTTAACCAAATCCCACGCCAGCCGCTCTGATGTGATGGTGGCGTGTCCCCCGATGATGCCAGAAGGCGTCGGCGGGAGGCCGCACATCTCTCAGGGACGCAAACGTAATGCTGCTCCATCGGCTGCCGGCGTCCTTTTCGGGTCCCATAAGCACTTGGTTGTGGCTCGCAAGAAGTTAGGAAATTTATGGCCTTTTCCTCAAAGGCAGACATCGGCTTTATTCGTGCCAAATCCGTTCCCCATGACCCTGAGCTTTTCTGCATCACGGTCACCTTTCCAGTGCTCTCGCAGTCTCTTCTGGCGGACATTTCGTGTGGCGGCCGGGACGAGGCCTCACGCACACGGGTGGCGGCCGCCGTTTGGCCAGCAGCCCCTGTCAGACGCATGCTGACCTCAGGAATGGCACAGCGTGGAAAAGGGTGTGTCTTCGAATCGAAGAAATGCAGCATTTTGTTTTTAGGCTATTAGTGAGTTCCCTACCTGGTCTCTAACTCCAGATACGAACAGGAGACCCATTTTTAATCTCCCACAGAGTCCGCTAAAACTCCCAACAGCTTTTTCGAAGAGGGACGGATTTCTGCTTGCCTGTCCAACTTCATCTTCCGTTAACCCTCCCTAAACCTGCTGGTCTGTCCCACAGGTCTGTTCCTTTTCCTCTAAACATAGAAATGATGTGAAAATCACAGATTTGAGATCAGCCCTTTCTTTGCTCAAATAGTAGGAATTATCATTTCCTCACTCCCCAGAGCCAGACCCGGCCTCTGAAATGTGTCCAGATCTCTCTCCCGACCGAATCCAGTACTGAGTTGTTAGTTCACAGCATCTTTGCCTGCTCCTGCAGGGGCTCCCCCCAGGCTCCCAGTTTCCTCTCTCCCTGATAATTCGTTTTCCATGCGGCAGCCAGAGTGATCTTTAAAATGACAGGCTTGTCTAGCTACAAGACTGATGGGCCATCTGTATGCAGAGGACTCTTAATGGCCCACTTGCTCAAGTCCGAATACTTGCTTCCCCCGGCTGCTCCCATGCAGAGAGACTGGAGGAAGCACCGGGCTGGGTTGGGGGTGGAGGAAGAACTCAGTTACGGCCTTATGGAAGAGATGATATCCATGTCTGGAGTGCCGGGGAGCAGTCGGAGCTGGGAAATACAAATGTGGGCGTTCTCCAGAAACAGGGAGCATCAGTGTGGCAGCTAGACAAGTCTTTGTTGTGAGAACAGCAGGCGAGAGCGAAGTCTGGTTAAACTCGGAGGCGCGTAGCAGAGGTACCCGCCTCCAGTTTCCCCCGGTGCCCTTCACCGTCTGCCGCCCTTGCCCTGACTTACACACCTCTGCTGCTGGAATTGCTCGAGGGGCTCCTTCCTCCAGGCCTGTCGGCTGCCTCTGCTGGCTCTCACTGCTTTTTAGAAAATTGGCCCGTGTGCCTGGTGCCCTGCAGCGAGTTGGCACTTCACAGGCATGTGCTGAATGAGTGAATGAGTGTGAATTCAGTGGGTTTTCTATGGGTGGTAATTTAAATTCCTAATTTTATGCCCATGCACAGAATCTTTATCTTCTGATCCTGAGGTTTTGCTTCAAATTGATGGTGTTACTGAAGACAAACTGGAAAAATATGGTGCAGAAGTGATTCCAGTATTACAGAAATACTCTGAGTGGACATTGCCAGGTTCTGTATACAGCTAACTCTGTGTTTTCTAAAAGCCTGTTTGAATGTTAAGCAATGCATCTCACTGGATTAGAATTTTGTGGTTTCTGGGTTGTATTAATGCTTCCTCCACCTTGTCACACTGACATTCAAGTGCAGAGCAGTCCCAGTGCTGTGCCAGGCACCTCTTAGAGGACACTGGCGCTTAGGCCCCCCGGGGGAACGCCCGTGACTGGACCTGCTGGTAGGACCCAGAGAAGGACCTTTGGGCCCAGGAGTTCCAATTCTGTTAAGGCAAGTGCCCAAGGACTCCCATCTCTACTCTGCTATCCTTGGCAGACCACAAATAACCTCTTTGTGCTTGGTTTCCTTATCTGCGGGAGGAACGTGTTATCTGACAAGCATGTCTAAAGATAAAACTTAAGAGCGGAGTTTAAATGTTTTGGGAAAATGAATGTGCAATTGGAATGCTAGATAATCATGGTTATCAGAAAGAATCTGCCCAAGGGAGCGCATCGTTAGCAGACAATCCCAAGGGTTACAGTGGGACCGTCATGTCGCCCCTCATTGTCAACCTCCTCACTGAGCTATAGACAGCATTAACTGTGAGAAGATCGAGACAGAGATCTTGTAGGAGATGCGAGGTCCCATGCCCTCCTCCCGCGTATGGCCAGTAGACAAGCCAAGTTCAATGTTTCTCCTGTTTCTGTAACAAACAGCGGGGGTTTCTTCCCAAGGCTGATGGAAAAGGTAAGCAGAATGAGGAATGAGTGAGCATTTCTTTCAAGTTCTGTCCCTCCTTCTCCGTTTTTTACCCATTAACAAAATGCTGAAAAGTGGGGTTTTTATAAATTCCTCTGTGTGGTAATTATCCCATTAAGAGCCTTGCTTTGAATATTGGTAGGAACTTAACATTTGTTTAGTGTAGTAACTTGTTTGGAAGGGGATTTTTGCCCACATTAGACAGGCTGCTCTGTGGAAACAGCCCACAGTGTGGTGATGATCGCTCCCACTTACTGAGGGACAGACGCCGTGCCAAGAGCTTGGCCTGTTTTGTATCATTCAGTCCTCACAACACCCCATTTCATAGCCTTTTTATTGCCAAGCCCCACAGCTAGGATGACGGGATGACAGCTTCGCCAGAGCTGCACGGCCTCCCCGTGTGAACCGTTGGGCGGACGCGGAGTCCCATGGATTAGGGCCCTTCCGGTCAGGCAGTAGCGTAGCCCGAGGGGGAGCCAGACCAGCCCCGAAATACCTTCCTTCGAGAATGGAGCCGGGATCCCTGTGGACCCACAAGGAGGTTTCATGCTTTTTAGGTGCCTTAGGATGCCAGTACTTGTGGAAGTTACCACCTTTTTTGCAAACTAGTGCTTTCATCCCGACCCATTTCCTGCATGGTATGTGAAATGTTCACAACCATAACAAAGAAGCGTTTTTTGTCTTTGAAGAGTATGATAGGGTCTGGGGTTTTCTAGCACTACCTAACTGTTGCTCAAACGTGAGGGGGGTACAGAGCATAGTTTGTTATGTTTCTCTTATATAGGGCTTTTTTTTTTTACAGCATGTGTTAAATGATAAATAAAATTGTCTTTTATATAGCACTTTATACTCTTCAAAGTGCTTAGCAGGATTAACTGCCCAAGCAATAACAGGGACACAGACGGTGTGCAACAGACACCTGATGTCTCTAGTTAAGTTAAAGAGTTTCGCAAGTTTCTGGGGCACCTGGCTGGCTCAGGCAGTGGAACATGTGACTCTTGGCCTCAGGGTTGTGAGTTCGAGCCCCACATTGGGCATAGAGCTTACTTTATATATATCTCACCGGTTTCTTTAACAAATTCTGATCTCCTTACGTTAAAAGTAAATTTCCATTGAGGACTCTGGGGCTCTGACATAAAAGAAATCTTCCATTCTTGTGGAATTGTTGAACCCGTGTGGCAGGAGGCCCCCAGGAAAGCAGCTGGGTATCAGCCCAACTGCACCCCTGCTGGTGTTCTTCCACGTGGACATTCACAGCGCCTGGGCCGTCACAGCATCAGGGACAAACGTCTGCATTGTCCATTTGTAGCTGAGGACGGTTCCCCACGGGGAAGCCCGGGCAGCCGCAGAGGCACCAGAAGACGCGCCGCCGAGGAGTTCGATGAGGAAACACCCGTATCTTCTCACTACTTTGCAAATAAAACCAAAAACGAAAGAAAGAGGAAGAGAATGTCAGCCTCCCAAAGGCCTAAGAGGAGGAAAACCAGCTTTGGTGGCTCCAAGACCAAAGGGTAGGTCCTGCCCCAAGGGCTGCGAGGCGGCGGGTGCCTCAGGGAGGAGAGTACAAAAGCGCAGCGGCTCCTGTTCGCTCCGAAGCATTTATTAAAATGAGCCATTGTTAAATGTTGCCTCTCTAGTGAATGGAGTGATGATTAAGACTGAATCCAAAACAGAAACATTTGTTTCAGATTTTTAAAATCTCTACTCCTAAGTTATCATTCAAGTTGTCTACTTTGCCAAAATGTCTCCAGTTTTGACGTTACCTTTGGAAAAAAAAATTTTTTTTCTTTATAATTTCTCTTCTTAAGGGACTTTTCCACCTAAAATGCTATAAATCCTATACTAGCTGAGTAAACAAAGGGTTTTGTTTCCCCGTTGCTTTTATGATTCCATCAGTACCCGCTACACGGCTTTCATTGGTGTGGCAGCTCCCGGCCTTTGCCCCCAGGCCCTGCTCACTCCCTGCCCTTCCTTAAGACCTGGGAGAACCGACCTCCCAACTTGTGCAGGGTAGCAGAGAAGAGGAAACCTAAAGGTCAGTTAAGCCAGGCCTGCAGGGGCTGCAGGAATGTCTTCCACCTCCCCTCTCCCACATTTTCCTGGCCCCGGGGCTGGGATGCGGCCCCTTTAGGGCGCTCCCTGCACACCAGCGGGGACCGAGGCCCTGTCAGGTCCTGGCCGATGATCTGTGCAGTGTTCTTATGTCTTCATAATTGCACTGCCCTTGTCTTGTAGGTGAGCAAGGTCTGGCAGGATCGGGACCATCCCGTCAGCCTGGAGAACGTGGCCCCCCAAGTAACCGCATAACCTAACAGAAATGCTTACAGGAAAAAGGAAGCAAGTCCTCAGTAAACTTTTGCAAGCTGTTGTGTTTTTCTTTTGCAGTTTTTCTACCTCTTTTCCTGCTGGGTAATTAAAAAAAAAAAAAATTGAGTGGGGCAAGAGAAAGGAAGGCAAATGTTACCAAATTGTCATTTTCTTATTAAGTCCATATACAAACATCTTGTATGTGCTAATCCCTCTGCCAGGGTACAGAAATTAAAGGCATTAGTAAATGTTAGTTTAATTCTGTGGTTTTTCGTGTGCAAGTGACCAGCAGATGTTCTTCAGTGGCGACATTTTCTTATTTTCCTCTTTTATTCCTCTGTTTTGGGAAATACTCATTTCCTCAGGAGCTCAGGGAGTAGAAGGAGAATCTAAAAGGCCTCTCTGGTCCAGCCCCCCCCCGGGGTTTATGATGAGGAAGCTGAGACCTGGCCTGGGAAAGGCTTGTGTGAGGCTTTTCCCAGGCGGGTCTCAATTTCCCAAGTAGGACCGGCCTCTGGCTCACCCACGCCCACCCAGAGTGCTTTCATTTCTGCACATTGCCGGTGGAGATCCCTTACACGTGACTGTGATCTTCCCATTCTTTCTTGTTCGAACAGAGCGCGCCATATTTCAGTGTTCATTGCCCTTGGCTCCCTTTGCAGTTTTTCCAACTTCTGTTTGTAAGAGTGAAGCACTTCGCCCTGTGGGTCCAAACCTAATCTAGGAAGAAGTAGTAAAACTCACACTTCTCAAAAAGCCAGTACCGATTTGAATGCTGGTTGTTAATTAACCTACGTGTTTACCATGGGATTCTCTTCTAATCCCTTCTGGCCAAAACCAGGGAGTTTTGTAACTTTTTTTGACCCTCAGTAGCAGCCTCTTTGTGCACGTGCTTCATTCCCCTTGTTGCCGCTGAACCACTGTGACCGTTTCCCATCACTTCCAGGCTGCTCACCTGGCTGAGAGGCAGCCCCGGAATACGGTGCCTCTGTGCCAGAGACCTTAACTCCCCGCTCTACCTTCCGAGCTTTACATCTTCCGAATAACACACAATGAACCAGTTGTGTTCTGGTCTCTCAGAGTGGGCGTGAAATGGATGGCCTGGGCGCCAGAGACCACTGTTGGCAGATTCGTTCTGTAAATCAACATAAACAGCAGGTTTTCGCTCAGGGCTTAATTTCTCAGCAGGAAATCAGCGTAGGGAAATTTAAGGCTTCTTCTCTGCCGGTGCAGCAGATCTTTGCCAGTTCTGCAGTAAAACTGCCCTCAAGCAAGAGTTTAAAAATGTTGAAAAAAGCACTCCTCCCCCTCCCCCCCCCAGTTGAATGCCTTAAGTACAGATGGGTGGCCCTGAGACCCTGGCCTCTACATTCAGAGATGGGAGGCCACTTGCAGGCCCTGATGTTACCGATTTAACTCTGGGCACGGACTCAGCCCGGTTACAAGCCATGGGGAATAACCCAAGCAGTTTGGAAAGGCTTCTCCCGTTATCCTTGTAAAATGCTAGCCCTGTGGTTCTCTTCTTTCGTTTCATTAGCAGGGAGAAAAGAGCTGGTATCTTCGGGGGGGGGAAGCTGCTGGCAGGACTTTGTAATAGGCTGTGGCGGGGCTTCTTGCCTGGTTTTAAAGGCAGCTAGTAGGAGAGGAGAGTGGGCAAGAGAGCGAGCTGCTGGCGACCCTGACAAGGTGCCAGACCCAGGTGCCTCCCCGGGGGGCCGCATCTGCCACCCTCCCGGCGCTGGGACCGCTGACCCGGAGGAGGCTCCCCGCTGTGCTCTGCTGCCGCCCCGCTAGGCTGAAAGCAGGACCCCAGCTCCACTCAGCCACACAGCTACCTTTCTCTGAGCTGGGCAAGCACTGTAACTCCACTGTGTCTATTGTCCGGGCATCTGGGACCTTAAATCAAGGTATTCTCCCTTCCTTGGGCAGAATAGATTGAGCACTGTGGATCTGGGCTCTGTTGTCCAGAGGGAGGGTTTTGATTATCAGACGTGAATGGTGTGGGTGGGGAGCAGGCACAGGGGGTTGGTCTCAAGTCCCAAAATTAAGAAACAGTCCTTGCCATTTTAAGAAGACAAGTTGAGGACAGAATTGCAAGAAGGGCAGCAGTCCTTTATTCCTTGAATTGTAAAGGAAACTGCCAGGGGATTTATAGGCAGGAAATGCACAGAGATGTGGAAGAGCAAGGAAAATCGCAGACTGATTATAGAGCTCTGTGCAGGCGGAGAGCAAGTTCACTTCTGATTTTATTTAACATTTTAATTCTCTTTTCTTTGTCACCTTTTAGGGGGTTCACCGTGTGCAGAAAGACATCTTCTAAAAGTAAATCCTCCAACATATTTGGACCCCATTCCTCTGTGCATGGTTCTCAAGCAGCATCAGGAGCCACTAGAAAATTGGGGATTATGGCTCCACCAAAGCCTATAAATAGACCGTTTCTTAAGCCTTCATATGCATTTTCATAACAACCAAATCTCAATGTACATAGATCTTATTTCTTGTTTGTCAGCATCTCACCATCTGTGAATATAAAGCTGTTAGTTTTGTTATACCATTTATAATTTTTACACATAACTATTAATATTTAAATAAATGCTTGGGGTGACAGTTCTTATTTTTAAAATAAACGTTTTCTTTTGAATAAGCATGATTTGCTACCACTGTAAGCCTTGTGGCCGTCATTTCTCAGAACGACTGAAGCAGCAGTTGAATCATCTCAGCGAGAGAAATTCTAAGCACGACATGAAACACAAGCTGCAGGAAGAGACACGCTTGGGACATTGTGAAACTGTAAAACTCCGCAGAAGGTGACATAAACAAAATTAAAAGACAAATGACAGAGGAAAGAGAGAAAAATATCTGACGAAGAACTAATGTCCATAATACAGAGTACCTATATCAATCATTGAAAAGAAAAGAAAACCAGCTCGGTAGAAAAATGAACAGAGGCTGTGACAGGCTCTTTCCAGAAGTACAAATGGCCCACAAATATGTGGAAAACGCACAGTCTCCCCAGTTACAAATATAAATTAGAACAATGAGATGCCATTCTTCTGCCACTTAAGTTGTCAACACTGGATAATATCCCAAAATCTGGGGCCAACGAGAGAATGGTCGAACATTCTACTGCTGAGAATATAGGAGCTGTTTATGGTTAATATTAGGGAGGCCTCACTTTTCAAGACTTTCCGCAGGTAGGCTGCTTGGCCAGAACGTCTTAGCGTGGGATTTTAGCACCTCTTTTTGGAGACCTTTCGTCTCTTAGCTGTAAGTTACCCTGGTGACCTGTTTCGTGTCCCACTTCTCTCCTGGACCTTAGTCAGGAGAGTGGAGCACAGGAGGCCCTGCCTGGGCAGAAGGTCCTGAGGTGGGATGTGGCTAGAAGCCTTGTGGCCTCTGCCCGGAGGCTCAGTTGCGCCGTGGAGCCTGCACCCACCCTGAGGGGCAGCCCTCAGCTGCACACCTACTTCCTGCTCCCGTGACTGCCACCTGGGGCTTTGGGCTCCACACTGAACGGAGGAGACTGGCCCGACAGGAGTCTGCTGAGCGCTGTGCCCTGTTCTCTCAAAATGTCTTCCAGAGCTGACATTTTCTTTCTTTCTTTTTTTTTTTTAAGATTTTATTTATTTATTTGACAGAGAGAGACACAGCGCAAGAGGGAACACAAGCAGGGGGAGTGGGAGAGGGAGAAGCAGGCTTCCCGCCGAGCAGGGAGCCTGATGTGGGACTCGATCCCAGAACCCTGGGATCATGACCTGAGCTGAAGGCAGATGCTTAACGACTGAGCCACCCAGGCGCCCCCAGAGCTGACATTTCCAAAGAAACCATCTTTCCAGCAAGCTCTGACTCGAACAGCCAGAAGAACCTTCTCTGGGTGAGGAAAGGACACAGGACAAAAGTAGCCTGTAGCTGAGGCTGCTGGGATAGGATCACCTGGGAATGTTGGCAATGCATGAGGGGGTCTGGCAGGAGGTCACATCCACCTGTGGCAGCTTCGGGGGGGTGAGGGGGCAGCTCTGCACAGAGACAATGGTTCACTTCCTGGCTCCAACCTAATTCGTTCCTTTCCTGAGGCCTCTTCTGCCCAGCTCCTGGAGAGTGCTCTCTCTGCGGGAGTGCCCCTATCTTCGGGGCCAGGGGTTGGAGAAGGGCGGTGCAGAGGGAGCCGACTCTGACCCTAACCCTAACCCCACCTCGCAGCAGGAACCTGGGGCCAGCCCAGGGTCCAGTAGCAGAGCAGGGCCCCACACCCACCTCTTTTTAGAAATTCTGGGTTGGAACAGGCTCTGGTCAATTCATCAGGCCCCAGGAACAGGCACAGAAAATATAAGTGGCCTCCTCCACTTCAGCCTCCAGCCTTCTCAGATCCCCCTGCTGGAGGACCGGGGCGGGGGGGGG